AAGCTGGCCTGTACTGACACATCCATCAATGAGATGGTGATTTCGGTTGACGTTGAAGTAGTGGCTGTTACCTGCTCCCTCCTGATCCTGACCTCCTACGTGTATATTATTTCTGCCATCCTGAGGATTCCCACTGCCACAGGGAGACAACGTGCCTTCTCCACCTGTACAGCCCATATCACCTTGGTGGTTATCTATTATGTCCCTGTGGTTTACAACTACCTGCGTCCACCATCTCAGGACTCCCTTGATGGTATTGTTGCTGTGTTCTACACAGCATTGACCCCTCTCTTAAACCCTCTCATATACACTCTGAGGAACAATGAGATGAAAGTTGGCGTGAAGAAATTGTGCAGTAGAAAACACAGCGCTCACTTAACTAACTGAGTTCTTGTTATTGCAATTAGTTTTATTGAAAATCAGAGAAAATAAACGAGCTTTTCTAAAACCTACTCCTGCGTTCCAACAGTTAAGAACATCTCCACTGTTTGCAAGCAGCTCTTGAGCATGAGATACTCACCTGAGCTCTACTGTCTTTTTTTCTGTCATTTGCAACCTGGTGCCTGCAAGATGAAGAGTAACGATCTGTAACCACAAATTCTCATTTGTTTGCACCACTCATCTGTTTCCATGCATGCATTTAAAGCTCAATTTATACAGTCCTTCTCCAGGCGACTGCTGCTTATCCATGGCTGCCTTCCAGACTGCAACATAAATGTCTGAGGCTGCAGATCTAAACTCATTTACTACAGAGTACAGATGGGGAAGAATTTCTATTCACTTTGCATTTGAAGGCAAACTGAAGTTGTGCTTTCCTATACAATAAACAGCAGTGTTAGGGGGGAGTACCTGGTGGGACATGTCATGCTCCTTCAAGGTAGTTTCTCCACTTTTGGCCCCCACTCTGCACTCAGCTTTCACCTGTGGTTCCTAGAAGCTGTCAGCATGCGACAGTGTCCACACCCTGGGAAACGGCTTCAACTGGTTGGCTAAACCAGGTGAGGGGAGCCAAAGGGTCTCAAACCCTCATTGAGTTGTGATTCTTGTTAAGAACTCTCCGGGGGAACAATTATTTGCAAACAATGTTGTTTGTGGAAAGGCTGAGTTTTGGGCAGGGGTTTGGCAGGCCTCAGTAGCCAGAAACCAGGAGCTATGAGACGGGCTATTGGCCAGAACTGAAAACCCAGCAGGACTGAAGGAGAAACAGGTTCAAGATGATCCAATGAGCAGCCAGTCCAGAAAGTTATTTGCTGCCCCCTGCAGCTCATTGGTTGAATACATGGAGTAGACATATATACTCACAAAATACAGCAGCTCCTGACAGTTGGTTTATATCTAGTCCAAGCTCAGTCCCACTGAAATCAATCTGACACCGTTACTCATGAGTTATATCTTGTTGATTTCAACAGGAACTGAGTGCCACTCATTTAATCTAAGCAGGACTGAGAGGAATTGTGTCTGCTAGAATTTATTTCTGCAACACCTTTCAGCCAATCCCCCCACCTACCCCCACCTTCATATAATCCACAGTTCTCCAGAAAGGTGGGCTGAAGGAGTTGTTGTTGTTGTTGTTATAGTCTAACCTGTCACTCAAGGAACATAAGCCTTGCTGGATCAGAACAAAGACTGATCTAAGTTCAGCATCCTATTCTTACAGTAGCCAATCAGATGCCTTTGGGGTATACACAGAACATTTGCCTTGCCTACAGAAGGTCCAAGGTCCAGCCGCCACCACCCCTTTTTCTCCTAGTAGGATAGAGAAAGATTCACTGCCTGAAATTCCAGGGAGCAGGTGCCAGTCAGTGTTGACAATACTTAGCCAGATAGGCCAATGGTCTGACAAGGTATATGGCAGCTCTCTGTATTCCTGTAGATCATGGTCTCAGCATGTGCTGACATAGATTTTGGCTCAAACATTTATGACGAGATGTTCAGGCTGAAATAATTCTCAATCACTTAGACATATGTTAGATGTTCTTTCTCTAATCACTAAGTGAAATAAACGGGCAGGTGATCCTGCCACCATGGAGAACTGGCAGGAGAGCTAGGGCTTTTATTTTATTTTTACCAGTGAGGCACCACTGACTCACAGCAATTGGACAGTTCCACCTACTTTCCATGATGGCATAGCATTGCGGCATGGCCCTGCCCCACCTCTGTGGCCTTTGCTGCAGCCACATTTTTCCAGCTGATGAGAGATGCAGCAGCCTCTCACAACAGTTGGATAATTTGAATTCAGGCCACCTGTGGATTGGCCAATGGCAGGTGGGCTTAGGGGTGGAGCTGACTGAGTCTTCATGAGGACTTCCCTCAGGTCTGCTCCTTGGGGATAAAAGGAGTGTTCGTCCCTCAATCAGCACCATTGTACCGTTGGACTGGGGACTGCAGCTAATGGTGGATGGAGTCAGGTCAAATGGTGGGCGGGGCCTGGGAGGGCAGGACCCTGATAGACTCCAGCTACAAAAGCGGAGGCTGCTGAAGAGGCTGGAGACCATTTTGACTGCATACCCAGGACATCAATCTCAGTTTCTTATTCAAGTATGAGTTCCATGTTCCCACATCAGTTTCCAATTATTATTATTAAATAAATAGAAACACCAGAAAATTCACCAGCATCTTAATGTGGATTTATTGTAACGTTGTGGATTCAGTTTTCCTCAATTTACACCTCTCTACAAAGCATATCACCCCTAATATGATGCATTTTGCATGTTATTTTCACCAATCTGTGCATTATGTGAAAACCAAGGTAAAGAGATGTGTCTTTAGCATTTGCTACCAGCTGCATAGTGAAGAAGCCAGGTGCACCTCTGTTGGTATGGAATCCCACAACTTAGGGGCTGTCACAAAGAATGCCCTCTCCTGGGCCACCACCACCCAAACTTCTCAGGGAGGCGGAACTTCCAGGGGGGCCCTGTGGCGTTTGCCCTCCTAGGTGTGTGACATCATACTGGGTTCATAAGGAAAGGGTTAACTAAGTTTAAAATGACTAACCAATAGGAACCCAAGGGGAGGAGTTAGAGTTAGAGTTGTTGAGAAGTCAGTCTGGAGTTAGAGAAGAGAAGAGAGGATAAGTCTGTGGGTTGGGCTAGTCTGATGTGAGAGACTGAGAGAATCTGTTAAGAGGAGTCATTCAAACAGTTGATATAATCAGTCAGAAGGTATTAGGAAGGTATAGGCCGGTAAAGAAACTAAAGTTAAGAAACTGACAAGAATTTTATCTGAGAAACCATAAACTTGTTAACGCTTATAAAATAAACTTGTTTATTTGCTTCAATTTTAATAACTGTCTGGACTCAGTGTGTACCCAAGAGTAACGGGTTGGTGGCAGCGGGGAAGCGAGCACAGTGGTGGCACAGGGATCAATAGACTGTCAAACGTCCGGGGACCCTGTGTGATCGCCACAGGCCCCCTCTGTTGATCTTCACATACGGTAGGGTATGTGGAGATAAAGTTAGCATGTTCCATATTTAGAGCCTAAGTCATTTAGGTTGTTTAACACTAACACAGGCATCCATAAACATACTGACAGCCAATGAAGCTGTTTTAGAACAGGGGATGTATGAGTTCTAAAGGTAATCCCAGCCAATGGCAGCTGCATTTTGGACCAATTCTGAGTCATCTTCAAGGGCAGGTCCAGATAATAATCCAACCTGGAAGTTACCAGAGTATGGAATACTATAGCTAAGTCATCTCTGTCCAAATTGGGCTGTAGCTGGTGAAACAGCCATAGCTGGAAAGAGGCACGCTTTGTCACCAAGACTACCTGAGCTCCAAATGTCAATGTTGGATCTAGGAACATTCCCAAGCTAAGAATCGGCTCCTTTCAGGGTACCCAGAAGAGGCTTCAATTTGTTGACCCAAATACAGCCCATCACTACCTCCAAACACCTGTCTAGCAAGTCAGCTTTCTCTCCAAATTCAGATAGAGCTGAGTATCACCTACATATTGATGGCACTTCCAAAACCCCTGATCACAACTCCCAGCAGCTGCATGTAGATGTTCAATAGCATAGGGGACAAAATGGAACATCTGAGGGTGTTGGAAAATGACCTTTCATAACTACTTTCTGGAAACAGTCCTGGAGGTAGGAGCAGATCAAATGAATTCAAATGCCCCCAACATTCATCTCTGGGAGCTGTTCCAGAAAGATACAATTGTCAATGGCATCAAAACAACTGTGAAAGATCAAGAAGAATGAGCAGGGTCACACTCCCTGCAACTCTCTCCTAGCAAATGTCATCAACCAGGATGACCAGAGCAGTTTCAGTGCCATAACTGGGCCTTAAACTAGGCTGAAATGTATTCAGAAATTCAGTCTCCTCCAACCATGCTTGAAGGTGGACTGCTACAACCCTCTAAAGCGCCATACCCAAACAGGGAAAATGAGCCACTGGGCAATAGCTGTTTAGCACTTCCGGGTCCAGGGAAGTCTTCTTAAGGAGGGGGTGGACGACAGCCTCTTTCAAGACAGGTGAGTAGTCCTGCCTCCTCCAGTGAAGCATTGATCACTCCCTAGGCCCACATGGTGAAGTCAATCAGACTTGACTTGATCAGGGTTGGAGACTCCCATTGTTCTAGGCACATTTTGCGACAGGGAATTTCATTAGTGCAAGCAGTTTCTTAGCTCTGGGTGCTGTACAGTGCCTAAGATTTCAGATTAAAACTGCAGAGTGGAAGGAAAGGAGGACCTTTTTCCGCCTCCCCACTTCTAGCCACTCTCTGAAGACTGGAGAAGGGACCCTCTTAAGAATATTAGGGGGTGGGCAGGGGAAGGACTAGACTATGTGAAAAATGAACATAATATATTAGCTGCAGTTCATTCATTTTCAACTTTGTATCCTTGTTATAAAAAAAGCGAGCCTAGACATGAAGTTGTTCCACCCATAACTTAGGTTTAAGGTGCCATTTAGCTCCTAGCTTTCATATCTCAGTTTCTAACACTGGACTTGATGTGTCAAAAGGAACATAAAACAGAATTGCACACATGGGGTGTTCTTTACATGGCAATCCCACCCCACCTTTTCACCACAGCAGTCTTCATTTCCTTATTTCTAAGTGTATATATGAGCGGGTTCAAAAATGGGGTTATTGTGGTGTAGAACACACAAACCACAGGATCCATGGAGTCCTGAGAAGCTGGCCTCAGGTAGTGATAAACCACAGGTAGGTAATATATTCCCACCACAGTGAGATGGGCTGTGCAGGTTGAGAAGGCCCGTCGACGCCCTTCCCTGCTGCTGATCCTCAAAATAGCTGAGATGATGTAGACATAGGAGGTCAAGATAAGGAGGAAGCAAGTCATTGCCACACTGCCAATATCTATCAACACCATCATCTGATTGAACTCTGTATCAGCACAAGCCAGCTTCAGCATTGCAGGGATGTCACATAAGATATAGTCAACATCATTTCTTTGCCCGTATGGCAAACGGAAGGTGAGGGTTGTCTGTATAATTGAGTTCAGGCAGCCTCCAATCACCGTCCCCAAGGAGAGGCCAAGGCAGGCTTTCCCATTCATGATGTTGCTGTAATGGAGAGGCTTACAAATAGCCAGGAAGCGATCGTAAGCCATCAAGGTGTAAAGGAGACTTTCTGCACATCCAAGGAAGTTGAAGAAAAATAACTGAGAGACGCAACTGGTGAAGGAGATGACCTTTCCACCAGGGATGAATCCTGCAATCACTTTGGGGACGACGACAGAAGAGAAAGCCATGTCCAGGATGGACAGATGGCAGAGGAACCAGTACATGGGCTTGTGCAACTGGAGGTCAGAAGCCACCACCCAGAGAATGAGGGAATTTCCAGACAGGGTCAGCAGGAACATGAGCAAGAAGAAGAGAAACAAAGGGACCTTCATTTCTGGTGGGTATTGGAACCCTGAGAGGACGAACTCTGTGGGTGCTGTTTCATTTGCACACTCCATTGGTAAGATATTAATATCAGTTAGATAAGTTTGATTAACAATTTGGAAGTGAATGAGAAGGTGAGATATCACTACTGATGACAACGTTTTCCAAAAGTAGGTGACACCTATACAGTTGTAGGGAAGGACATGATCTATAGAAGCAGTTGTTGGCCTCCTCCCAGCACCATGGAAACAAGTCCATTAAGTTGAATGGACCACCACCAACCCTATCTCAGCCTGCTCTCAGCCAACACACACCTGCCTGCCTTCCTAGACGCAAGTGATCCAAAGGCCTGCCTGCTTCCTCTTCCTTTGTCTCTGTCTTGCCCAGAGGAGTTCTAGGGAAAACTTGCATTCGTTTGCTCTGTCATCGGCTCTGGCACCACCCACTGTCTGTCTTCTTGCTTTTTCCTCTACCATTTCCAATGGGTACCAGCCACCACTGTCCCAGCAACAACTTAGACCTTTGTTAATATCTTAATGAACCCAGGCAGCAGATCATTGCTGAACAGCATGAGATTTGGGGTGGTAACTGCACCACAAGAGACAAAGAGATGTTGCTTTCCACTCTTGTTTCCCTATGTGTTGTTTTAGAGAGGGAAGGAGAGTTTCCTTTCTATGTGTGGTAGAGAACAGAGCAGAGCTAAAAGGCTCTCTACATTCAACTGTAGGAACTAGCAACAGGCACTAGGAAGAGCCCAGTTTTAAAAGGCTGGAAAAATCTTGGCTTAATAGGTCAACATCAGGTGAACGATTGGCAATAAATCTCCTTGTCAGAATAAGCCAGACATAAAATCCATCATGCAGTTAGGAAAGCAGTTGCCAGATTTGGTATGGAAGGATGCATTTACCCAAGGCTTGGATATAATGTGGTTCTGACATCCTTTCACCAACTTGTGTATCCATTACAAACCACTTTGTAACAAATGTGAAAAAAATAGCCTGGCTTTTCCGCTTGAGTTCAGTGGGCTTCTGCATCCATAGGGCCCACTCCTCAACAGTTATTTCCTGTCCAGAACACCTTAAGTCAGCTTACTGGAGTTCAGTGATAAGCTGGGAGGGACGGGACAATCCATACAAGTCACATACAATCCAACATTAGCATACTAATGCTTTTGCCATGATACAGCTCTTGAAAGACTATTCTCAGTTTTTTAATCTTATTATTTATTAAATGCATCTCCTGTCCTTTGTTCCATCTTCTTCCATAAATGCAGTTGGGAGGCGCTATTCAATGCAGTTTTTGGACAGCTATTGACTAAATGAACTCTTTGATGACATGCTTGCTATAGAACCTGGTGATAGTTCCAAGAGGAATGGTGAGAACTTCTGGCAGAAGCGAATTTCTTGTTGTCAACCTTAAATCATTTATATCATTTCAGTTTGTTTCTGTTCAGAAGACTCACCTGATGTTTTACCAAGGGCCAAGGTGGCCCCTCAGTGCAAGCTATTTCATTGGAGTTGCCCCAGATGTACCTTCACTCAGACATAACTTCAGCAAATGGCAGAGGAAATCCTGAAGCTATATTCCCTTCCAGAGTGGTAGCTGTGTGATCTGCTGCAGGAGAGAACATGGAGGGTATTGGAACACCTTAAAGGCTTTCAGCTATGCTGTGGCTAGGTCAGCCCACAAATCAGATTTCCTTTCATTCATATTTGTTTCTTCTGAGATGCAGAAAGGAAAAAAAAGTTGGCATGAGGATAGCAGCAGGGGATAATCAGCTCAATGTTTTTTACCAAGAGAGGCACCATTTCACCTCCCCCTGTATCTTTATAATACTGCAGCTTCAGTGAGTTTAAGAGCAGATCCTTGTTCGTTCCCTCTGGAGGGAATGTGCCCATCTGAGAACATGTTTATGCCCTATGGTTTCATTAGATTCCAGACAGTGTCATTTATAATATGGTTTATTTGGAGGGTGGAAAGAGAGACTGATAGTTATTATAAATTCCACTGGGGAATAATTATTTGCAGTCAATGGTTTTGGATGGTCATGAGCAAGAGTCTGGGGTGAGACAGCAGCTAGAAACCAGGACCTATATGAGACAGGTCATTGGCCAGAACTAATGAGCTGGAGAGGACAGTAGATTAAACCAGGGCTCAACATGAAAGAACCACCAAAGAATCATGAGAGCTGAAGAAGACCTGGTTAAACAAAACCCAAAGGGAAGCCTGGGTGGGCAGTATCAGTCTAGAAAGTTCATCACTGCCACCTGCAGTTCATTGGTTGACCACAGGTGGCAGCCACATACACACACAAACATACAAACCAGGAGCCCCTGACAGTTGGTCTACGTTCGGTGCCTATGAAATCAATAAGACACATTGGCATGACTGGTGCAGTCACACTGGGTGTTGCGTTGCAGGGGGTGACAAAAAAGCACTGTAGAACGGAGCGTGAGAAGCAAGGGGTGCCAAATTTTAGCGTCATGCAGTCCAAGGTCTGCCAGTGAAAGCTTCTTTTATGTGTGTAAGAAAAACTGCTCCCTTTCCCTTATGGGGTATTCCGGAGCCCATATAGAGTCCTTAAGTGGGTTCTCTATCAGTAGGAGAAAACAGCGTCCAGCCACTGTATTAAGCAAAGCGGCTAGTAAGCCTGATCTTTATCAAACTGTTGCAGCAGGGTCCCCACTCACCACATGCAGGAGGGAGGGGAACCTTGAACAATGGTGTGCAAGCCCTTATATAGACTTTTTAAATTGCCCACCCTGTAGCCCAAGACCACCTCCCAAAACATCATACACACATCACAGAAGGAGGCGGTCTACAGCAGAAATCCTGTCTGCCCAGGATACCTGATAATGGTCACTGGTTGCTTATACCTGGCCATTCTTTTGTGATGGTTAATCCTTTAGCTCCTGAATCCAGGTCACAGGCTCACCTATTCATACACAAATACACCCTTAAGACAGGATTTGCAAGCAAAAAGACAATGGGAAGGCTTTCCCCATTTGCCTCCCTTACTGCAGCAGAATATTTGAGTTCATTAGGAAAGCCAAAATGGCTTCAGGATTAGCTCTCCCATACTATTTCAGACACATGGTTCATATATTTAGATATGTGTGCATTTATGAATGTTTATTCTGTATTTGAGACCTTAAAATTCTTATGGCATATTTGTCCTGAATCTTTCAACATTCAGCTTCATTCGAGTCTATGAGTTCTAGTTTTATGAGAGAGAGAGAGAGAGAGAGAGAGAGAGAGAGAGAATTTTTTTTCTCTATCCACATTCTTCATGCCTCACATAATTTTGTAAACCTCCGTCATTGAAGTGGCTTTAAAACTCTAAACTTTCCCTGCACAGTGTGCAAATTCTAATGTTCTTAAAATCTAATTTCAAAAGCAACATTTGAAATTATTTCCCATCACGATTACCAAAAGAGAGAGAAAATATATAAAATGCACACTGGAGCCCAATCATTGCATAAGGCCTAACTAGTTGTTGCAAGAAGCAGAATTATGCGGGGGGGGAGAGATCAATGAGCTCATTAACATTGAAGAACCCCTTGAGTCTACTCTAATCAATGCTTGTCTGGAATGCTTAAAAAAAAAATGTTTAATTGTTCACCCCCTGAAAGAGTTTGGACGGGTAGCCCAAAGGACCATCACTGCAGGGAGCTGGGTCCTGATGGACTCAAACCAATTTAAAAGATGGGACTGCTGAGATAGCAGGATAGTGAAGGCTATGGAGGAGCACTGGAATTAAGCCTCTGTGTGAAATTGTAATTGGGTGCAGCATTGAGTAGTCTGGGAACAGAGTCACCCTCGAGCCTCTTGTGCCCAGAGAACGTAAAACGTAATGTATGTCTCTCTTCACCAGTGTAGATAATTGGGTTCACAGAGTAAATGGCAATTTTCTTTGCCTGCCAAGCTGATGGGAACAGAGGGCAGAAGACATAGAAGAGGAATTATCCTCTCCAACTACAGGCTAAGTTTTAATATTATGGCTGTTCTCCTAAACTGAGTTTGGTCCGAAGACTAAGTACTCTGTCACTCCCTGCCTGGAGCTCTTACACTAGAGATGGGCAGCAGTAGAGACAAAAGGGATTGAAAATGCAGTGTGCGATGTAATTGGGGGGGGGAGACAGTTGGTGTTTTTGTCCATGGAGTTTTCTTGGCAGGGATACTGGAGTGGCTTGCTGGTTCCTGCTCCAGGTGGATCACGTTTAGTCAAAACTCTCCACTATGACCTGTCCATCTTGTGTGGCCCTGCACGGCATAGCTCATAGCTTCTCTGAGTTATTCAACGACAAGGCAGTGATCCATGAAGGAAGGACAGATCCTAAAGCTGAGGCTCCAATACTTTGGCCACCTCATGAGAAGGGAAGACTCCCTGGAAAAGACCCTGATGCTGGGAAAGATGGAGGGCACAAGGAGAAGGGGACGACAGAAGACGAGATGGTTGGACAGTGTTCTTGAAGCTACGAACATGAGTTTGACCAAACTGCGGGAGGCAGTGGAAGACGGGAGTGCCTGGCGTGCTCTGGTCCATGGAATCACGAAGAGTTGGACGCGACTAAATGACTAAACAACAACAACAGTTGGTGTGGGAAGCAGGCTGGGTGAAAGCCAATAAATTGACAGTTTGGAGGAAAGAGTAGGTTTTGTTTCGTGCTCCATGAGGAAGGACAGAGCATGGTACTCGCACCTCTTCTGAGGTCCCATTCAAGGACATTTGGGACTTTTTAGATTAGAGGAAATGTGTGTGAAAAGGCAACATGAAATGAGTGTTTAAAATTAAGGGTAGAAAGAAATCTTTCTCCCTCTCTCATAATGCCAGAACTCATGAGCATCCAAAAAATCTGAATGTTGGAAGATTCAGATCAGATAAAAGGATGCTTTGGGGGGGCGGTGTTTTAAATGCCTCACCTCTGTCACATCTCATAGTTAAATGAAAAGGAACCTAATTCTATGGGGTTTAAATGCAATTGAAACATGTGCAGCTTTAGGTCATATGTGAGAAGGGTGCAGGGGGTAAACAATTCCAGAATTCTTAGCATTTTCCATTCCCCTTCTTAAC